TTATTCCCCTTTTAGTGAATTTCAATAAAGCAAGAAGAACAACAGTGGTTTGTGCAGAATAATATGGTGCCATCATTGCTTATCTCTTTGACCTCTCATCAGTTGCTTACAGTCTAAATAAATTATTATTAAGTTTATGTACAGAAACATTTTAACATACTTGGAAATTTTTCATGGTGTCAGTTGACAGAAAGTTCCATAATTAGTGAACAGGGCTCAGAAAATTACGTTTATGAAGTTTTTACACAGGCAGTTCAAGTTTAAACAAAATAAATGTATGCATACATTGGTAAAGGAGTTACGTAATAAGGACGGGAGATGCGTAAGATGCTAATTGACTAATAAATTAGATAACAATGTACTGAGTTTAACTCAAATCATAGAAACACAAGGCAAGCGAATTTCCGTAATATCAAGGGAGATGAGGTTAAAGCCGAAGATTACGTAATCAAATGAAAGCGAGAGAGAGAATAAAGACTTCCAGTTACTAGGCCGGACAAGGAAAGACTAATTACTACTGATGAGAAGCCGACGAAATAAATGATAGTACCATATTATTCTGTACAAACCACTGTTGTTGTTCGTGCTTTATTCAAAATAACCAGAATACGTTTGTATTGTAGAGGTACAAAGCTCAGGAAATGAGTATATTTTGTCCAGTGGAAGTAGATTTTCTATACAAACGGTCACAACAAAAGTCTAAAGACTGATCGAATGCATATTTTCCCTTCCAGATTTCATATAACGCAACGAAGGTTCCATAAAAAAAGGGTGAAATGATGAAGCATAATTTAATTACGAAAAGAGAGAAGAGAAGGGCTCAGTTTCGTTTACTAGGGGTGGGTTATTTCTCATATGATTCTCTTTTCTCATCCATTCTCTTCAGTTCACGCATCCAGCTGGTTCACGGCTGTGTAACCATCTGCTACTGATTTTATTCTGCGTTTTTTTGTCAATTCTTACTAATATTGGCCAATGAACATCAGCGTCCTATAAAATAATTATTGGGTATAGTCTCCAAGTGTTATCATGTAAGAATTTAACTAGTTTTAAGTTTGAGCACAAATTGATATCACTTAGAGAAATCTGGGAAAACCAAGAAGTACTAGTTTGAATCTCTACGGCAGTACGCAGCAACAATTCCATCCGTTGTGGAGGGGAGCATTGAATCCAGGACTTTCAGGCTACGAGGTAAGCGCATCTACCAATCACACTCTGGGGCCGAATCTGATGACAGATGAGTTCTAACTTCTATCAATTCGAAATGTCCTTCAGCTGGTTGGTCTAATTAAGAAGCTCTAGTTCTATGTTTGTAGATAACAACTTCAGTGTTAATTACAATATGAAACCAGATTTTGAAATTCTCCCTCTCCCCCTCTTAATCATGCTTAACGTGAATAACTGTTTCCGGAGACTTTCTTATTCTCCTTGCTATCTCTCTGTCTGTCTGAATTCAACATAGAACTTGTCACCCAAGTGCAGCAGTTCCAGTTGCCACCTTCCAAATACCACACAAAGGTAGACAAGAAGATGAGTGAAGAGAATCAATAGAGTTTGACAAGTATAAGAGTGAAACAGAATGGGTAATGGTAGAAAGGAATATGAAAGATTACAGAGACTGAATACATCTGCCTGGCCATTGACAACGATTTGGAGCCATGTCACCCATTGTCTCCAGCCATTGATTCCTAAAGTCAGTCCCGAGGGCCCCAACCCGGAAGTCTCCATCTCCCTACCTGGACCTACTCAGTTCAACTGTCGAGGATTTCATGGATTGATGAGGCCATGTTTTTGTTTGACCACCACTTACTCTTTTCCAACCTGCACCTATATCAGCTAGTAATGCCCATCGTCGGGGGAGGCGATGGTTAGGCATGCGCACCACGTCACCTAGCCATCTCTCAATCTACGTGACTTTATAACCTCGTCGATTGATTTTCCCTCTTTGCCCAACACTCTACGCCTAACGTCAACATTACTTACTTTATTAAACCACCTAACGTGAGAAGGAGATCGTAGACATCTATGATCGAAAGCAGTCAACCTTTTCATGTCTTCAACTATTCTCCTTGCTACTCATGCTGGTATTGATTATTTCATTGAGCTGACACTAAGTCTTCTTTCACTGAGGCTTCTTCTTCTTCTCATTACTCCGTAAATCTGATCTAAATCAGTGTCTTCACTGACAGACCATCCATCTTAGTGCCAGGCTTCTAGGGATTCCCTGAAATTCTTCATGTTTAAATTTTGTATACTTTTTCAGTTGGATCACTGTTCATAATTGTCTGCATGTGTTGATATGAGGGTAAGGATACCATTTCTTTTGATGGCTTATTCATGATTGTGGATACAGAGATGAGGGGAATGTTCACAGTTGCTGCTGACTGGATTCAACATAGAACCTTGCACCGATGTGCAGCAGTTCAAGACGCCACGATCCCTTCATGTAGCACACAAAGCAAGAGAAGAAAGTAGAAGAAATACATAATAGAGACAGTAAGCAGACGTGTGAGACAAAGGAATATTAATAACGAAGAACAATATAGTTTCATTGGAAATCATAAGTTACAAGGAGTGGATGCATCTGTGCCATTGATTGGGAACAAAGATTTACCACCCTGAGGACCCCAAGTAGTCAGTCAGACAGTCTACACCTCCCTACGTGACTGGCTTAAACTAAATGTTATTGATTTCATTGACTGATGAAGCCATGTTTTAGTTTGACCACCACTAGCTGACTCTTTTCCAACCTAATCATCCATCCTATATCAGCGGCTAACACTCACCGTCGAGGAAAGCAAAAGATGGCTAGACGTGCGTTTGGTTTACAATAATCGGTTGAGATATGACCTATATTCCTATTATCTACTCTTGTGTATTTAAAATGTTTACAAGCTTCTGATTAGCAAGTTCCTACCAAACTTGAGGAATGGCCTGATTGTGGGGGTGATAACGTATTCCAATACATGAGATAACCGTTCTTCATTTATCCTCCTCGGGTGTCAAAGTGCACATTGTTTGAACATCTTACAATTGGCTTTCAACTGAATATCGTGGATTTCTTGAAAGAGACAAAACTGATATATGATAATGGAATGATTTGTGCTTCAGCTCAGAGACCATTGTTTCATAGGAAGGATATTTTACTTGAAGATATTGTACGAAGAGGGAAAATATCATGCAATAAACTCCTGAAAATTCTGTACCTTTTATAAATACTGTCCAGAATAAAGATGTTATTATTAATATTATTATATCCTAACCGTCTCAGTCGATGTAACTTCACAACCTCGTCGATTGATTTCCACTCCTTACCGAGCACTCGGACGATACCTAACCTTAATATTACTCACACTGATACACTTACGATTTCACACAGGAGACAGAGCGTAGGCACCTATGATCAAAGACAGCTAGCTGGCCTTTATATGTCTTCTACTTCCATTGGCCATGTGTCACAGCCAACCATAAAGCAGGATGGATCGAACTGCCTTTAAACAGTATACACGTCTTTAGGTCAATAGCCAGCCGGATATCACGTCTATGCCAGAGATGGAGTAAACTGGCATATACGAAACTAGCCTCCCGTATCCGTGTTGAGATTTCATCAGCGATCAATGCGCTGGCATTGGCTGGTGTAACTTCTTAAATAAGTGAATTGGTCAACACGCTTCACCAACCACTTCACTCCCTATTTCTAAGCTAGGAATGAATGAGTCAGTGTAGTCCAGTAATGTAGCATCATCTTACATTAGGACAGCAGGAGCGAATCGTATGCCAAACATTCGCAGATTGCAGCTCAAGATATTCAGAATACTCTGCTCGCCTTTGTCAACATCTTCACCTATAACTATAACTATATATATATATATATATATATATATCATCTGCGGAAGATCTTCAAGAGACACAGCACACCACGCCCTCAGTTGGGTGCAATAGAAGAGATCATGTGAAGAAAAAAAATGAAACCATCTGGGCGATTGTGGAGCCAGTTGAAAGTAATGACATAGAACTGAGTGGGATATAGATGTGTCCTACTGGTGACTCAGTGGGTGAACCATAATAATAATAATAATAATAATCACAACAGATTATACCGTTACCCTGCAAATTTATTCCCGTTTTGCTGTTGACCCTGAAAAGAGAAAGTACACCGATTTGAAGTACAAAAAACAAAACAACATTTTCTCTTTATACTATTTAATCGAATGAATTAAGTAATATACAGTCATAATTGTTTTTGAAAGCTTCAAAGTCTAGATTACAAATAGGGGGAAGAACCGGAAGAAGACGAAGAAGAAGCCCACCAATTTTCTCATTAAACTCACAAACAATCAAAAAGGTGTTAAAAAATTACAAAATTGAACCAAGGAAAGAATTCGAGCGGGAGGAGGAGGAGGAGCTGAAAGCGGAGAAAAGGTGAAAGCTACTACTCATAATTTAGAAGATACCATCATCATAACCATCTCTATAAAAAAGAATGAAAACGTCTATTAAAAAGAAGAACAGGAACAACAGAAATTAACGTGACATGGGAAGGTCAGTAGTGGTAAAGAAAGAAGGCAATAAACAGCTGGAGAAAGTCAAAACAAAAGGAAAATACCACAGGCATCGACATACTACTGATTACTCGTAACAAAACGCACAGAGAGCACACACATGAAGAATGAAAGAAAGAGAGATGAGTAAATTCTTCGTCTACTCATCTTTCTTCTGGTATTTGTGAGGATAGAATACAGATTGAGTCATCATCACATTGAAAAAGGAGCTTACAAAATTCATTATCATCAACATCGTCATGTTTACTGATATATTCATAAATATGACGATGCATCTTTGTAATATCAAAAAAGAAAGCGAGAAAAGAAGAGAGGAGAATAAGTAGAGAAAGATGTTTTACTTTTTAAAAAAATTTTTTCATGTTTCCTCGTTGATTTATTTTCTTGTCGATTTCTTATTTGGGTGTTCTCTCTTAAAAAGTATACACAAATATTGTGTTAGTCAAGCTTCGCATTTTCCTCTGATTGATTGTTGTCAGCCTAAAGTAAAGGCAGATGCAGAAAAACAAACACAACAACAAAAGTTAAACTTTAAGCACGGAAACAGCGAAATAAATAAATAAATAAATCTGGTGGCCTTCATGTGCATCTATCAGTTCACCTGCTCCTCTTGTGGAGCAAGGTAAATTGGCCGTAGCCAGAGGACACCGGTTTCCACATGGATATGAGGACATATTCCAGCAGTATAGTTTTACAAGGGAGGAGGGAAGTGTGTGCGAAGCTGTATTCTAGAACACCTGATCGATTCCTGTCAATCAACACCAACCCTGATCATGATTTTAAGATCATCTACCGAATTAATGCTAACTTTCCGACCGCGTTTTCTTCGTTACAGACTGCTAAAGACTGCGGAGGCCTTGGCATTTCATGAATTTAAGCCAGATCTTTGTGTACAAAAGAAGTAGGTGTAATCCCTACTTCTGTCTTGGCCGTAGACGGATAGACGTTCATTTATTTTGTTTATTTAGTTATTCTATGAACTTTTCCTTTATTACTACGATTATTATCATTATTCTCACTCTGAATTGTTTCCACTTGTCTCACTTGTCATTCTAAATCCAAAATTATAATTTTTTGTTTTTACAATATTGAATTCTATCTTATCAAATTTCACACCATATTATGCGACATTTTATATTCACCTACAAATTCTATAATTATGCACCACCCCTTTCCAACATTTATACACCTTATGTATTATTCTATATATATATGGCATTAATTGTTTTGCTAATTGGCATTTAACTATGATCATAATCACAAATATTTTAATTGCATTTCATACTATTAGTGTTGTCTGTTTGTTTTAGACATAGAACTTTGCACATATGTGCGGCAGTTCAAGTCGCCACACTCCCTCCTTGTAGCACACAAAGCAAGAGAAAAAAGTAGAAGAAATGCATAACACGGACAATGAACAGAGGTGTGAGACAAACGAAATGGTAGTAAAGAAAAACGATAGAGTTTCATTGGAAATCATAAGTAACAAGGAGTGGATGCATCTGCGCCAGCCATTGAGAACGATTTTGAGCCATGTCACAAATTGTTTCCAACCATTGGTTTTTACCGTCCTGAAGACCCCAACCATTCAGTCAGACAGTCTACATCCTCCTACGTGGCTTAGACTAACTACTGTAGATTTGATTGACTGGTGCCATGTTTTGGTTTGACCGACACTCAATAGCTCTTTTCCATCCTGACGCTATGTCAGCCAACATTTCCCGTTGTCGAGGAATGCGATGACTAGGCTTACGTAACACATGTCCTAACCATCTCAGTCGATGTAACTTCACAACTTCATCGATTGATTTCCCCTCCCACCTACCTATCACTCGACCGGTGCTTAACCTCAATATTGCTCATCCTATTACACCTACCACTTCACATGGGAGATAGAGCACAGACACCTATGATCTTTTCATGTCTTCCACTCTCAGTGGCCAGGTCTCACAGCCAGCCATAAATGAAGATGGAGCGGACTGATGAGCAGTACACTCGCCCTTTGGTCGATAGCCAGCTAGCCGGATATCACGTCAGTGCCAGAGACGTCGTAAACTGGCATATGCGAAACTAGCCCTCTGTATCCGTTCTGAGATTTCCTCAGAGATCAACCCGTTGGCGTTGGCTGATGCAACTTCCCAAATAAGTGAAGCGGTCAACACGCTCCACCAACCACTTCACTTCCTATTTCTAATCTAGGAGCCAGTGTCGTCCAGTCCAGTCCTGTAACATCATCTTGCATTTGGCGGGAGAGAAACTATTATTATTATTATTTCATCTGTTCACACCTTTGATCTAATTCCCTCACCGCATATAGTTTGTTGACATCATCGTTGTCATGTGTAAACATGAGAAAGTGTTTTAACTTTTTAAGTGGAGATAAACAGAACTACATACGCCCACGCAAATACACACATCAAGAAACAGAGAGAGAGAGAGAGAGAGCGCCAGAACAACAACAATAACAAGAACAAAGCAGAAACAAAATCGATACCGGTTGTAAAAACACATTTAACACACAGGGGATGGAAAGATGGAAAGCTCATGGATATAAATCATCATTTATGTGCTTGTAACATCAACGTTTTATCTTGTATTGTATAAATATTTGTTTGTCATGATGATGTTGAATGTAGGAATAACAATAGTAAAAGTAAATTGTTATGAGATATACAACTATAGAAAAAAATGTTTCTACACGTTCATTTTCACGTTTCATTTTGTGAAGACATGACTTCAACTGATGCTGTTCTCTACCTCTCTCCATCTCTCTCTATGCCTCTCTGCGTGGGTGACCTAAGTCAATCCAGGTAGTATACGACGCTGACAGAGGTTTCTTCAATGGAGGAGTTTGCACAACAACAACAAAAAACAGAGACCAGTCAAGCAAACCAAATAGAAAGTTTTCAGAGAAGTTGAAGATAGACAAGAATTGAAATTCATCATTAAGAGACTGAAACAGGAAGCTACAAAAGACACCCTGACTACAATCATCAGGAAAAAGTCAGAGGCATTAAGTGGCATCTCTATAAGTGATGCCAAAGAGAACCTCTATAAAAATCTTGAGAAGAATGAAGACATCAGACAAGGAATGCTTAAAAAGCACTACAAAAAAAATAGTGGAAAATTGAGATATGCTGTTAAAGCCGAGTGTTGTACTCGGAATCCAGGAGAATAACAACAACAATAATAAACTATTTAATTGGATTTTAGATTTTTCTGTCGATTGATTGAACCGAGAAGTGATCGGTCTCAGGTTGACATGTCTATCGGCTTCTTGTGCAGATGCTTCGACGATGTCTAGGCATGTAATCGGAATTTAATTGATGGATCGTGACTAGCAGTGGAATACACCAGGATGCGCATTTCATCCTACTTGGGACTCGTCAGTTTTATTTACCTGCATTCCGCAGTGAGTGATGGTGCTCCCACCGGGGCTCGAACCTAGTGCCCATAGTCACCATCCACCAATTAAATTCTGATCGCTAACTTATGTTAAAGAGAATGATGGATGCCTGCCATTTTTAGATGTACTCATAACCCGCAGAGAAGATGGGTCAATAAAACGATCTGTCTACAGGAAGTCAACATGGACTGGACAGTATCTAAATTACTATAGTTTCTGTCCACTACAGTATAAAAAGGCGTTGGTTAAGTGTTTGTTCAAGCGCGTTCACCGTATATGTACCGCCGATACAATTGAAGAAGAAAGACAACATCTCACTGAAATATTGTTAGAGAACAATTATCCACTGAGATTTATTAGACGTTATGGAAGTGTCAACCACACAGCTTTACCAATCCAATCAGTTCCCAAAAAGGATGTTTACATATCCTTGCCGTTCAGAGGTGATCAACATAGTCTAGTCACTAAACAAAGACTCAAGGCCGCAATTAATAGAACCTATTATGCAGCTAAACTTATCTTCATAGAGAAAACGAAAACTATGCTGTCCTGTAAACCCTCACATTATCCGAACGATAGTGTCACATCCCACTGTGTTTATCAATTTACATGTATGTGTGGAGACACGTACATAGGGAGGACCCATCGGTCTCTGCATGCTAGGGCTACAGAACACATTCCAAAGTGGCTGCAACAACAAATGAAATTGCCAGATACAATTGACCCGGGAAATAGATGTCCAACATCATCTATAGCGAAGCATATTATAGAGACGGGTCATAAGGTTGATTTTAATAATGCCTTTAAGCCGATACATAAGACAAGGTTGGGTCACATACTTAAATTCATTGAAGCCTTAGCCATTAAAAGACTTAAACCTGTCTTATGCGTCCAAAAGTTATTTGTTATCACCTTAAACCTGCCTTGGTAATCCAACTTAGAACCAAGGACCGATTTTACTTCATAATATTTTCAATCCCTTTCTTTACCTTTTTTTCCTCCCTTTATCTTTCTTACCCACACCTTTTGCGTCTCCCTACCCATTATTTTGTGACCTTGACCTGTACACAATCTGACCTGTATTGTAATTATTCATGCTTTCTTGCCTTATATAAAAACTGTGTATGACAAGTACGTGTGTGATCAGAATGTCCGAAATGTGTTGCGCCAATACATTATACGTTTCAGATAAACTACGTCTTCTTATTGTTTTGTCTAAATTCTGATCACATGTCAAGATATCGTCGAAGCATCTTCAGAAGAAGCTGAAATGTCAAGCTGAGACCGAGCACTTAGGTCCAATCAATCGATTAATTAAAATAAAATAACCAATATGACCCGTTGCACAAGAGGTGGCTCTCTTCGCCCGAGTGGTCTAGTGGATTACACTTTGGCATTTGAAACAATAGGCACTGGGTTCGATCCTCGGTCGGGGATGCAGATACATTCAGTTAACTGACGAGTCCTAAATAAGACGAAATGCGCATCTTGGATTCTACTGCTAGTCACCATCTACCCATTAAATAATAAACTATGTTATACGGAAATGTATTAATGAAAGAATATGTATCTACGGAAAATAATGAGAAAAATAAATGCATGTTACCCACTGAGAACTATTTTGGACCATGTTACCAATAATCTCAAGCTAATGGTTCTTAGAGTAGTGAACATCCCGGTGAGATGATTTACATCACCTTATGTCTCTTTCAGACGTAAATTTAAAGACCTTGTGTATTGATATCAGCATGTTTTGATTTAATCACTTCCAACTGCTTTCCAACTCAATCCTGTGTTGGTCGGCATGGTTTTGGTCTACGTAACATATATGCTCTAGCCATCCTAATCAATGCAGATTCGCAACCTTATGGAGAACATTGCGGAAACCTTTGACTAGAATTGAGAGGAACGGACTTCTAGTGATTTTGGTTTACTTGTGTTCTCTGAAATGGAGGATTCAACTGCTGGGCTTTCGTTGTCGCTCCAGACAATATCTTCAGTGCATACTTTGGGGGGTGTGAAGTGAAATTACTTGAATTCTCCATAAATGATATAACTGTATCTCCTGACAAACACTGACGTGATTCGTTGTTAATTTGCATATCTATTATCCACTTTTATTGACTTGAAATTTAAACTTTCTTGTCATGTGATTTATTTTTTATGAATCGGTAAATTTCGTCTATAATAATATGTCTGCTGATTCGTTTGAGTATCAGGCCTCTAGAAATTCCCCGACGTTTTCAGATTTTCCTCTGTTTCAAACTCTACATTCTGCCAATAACTAGTGTAATGTGTCTAGTCCTTTCTTTGGTGCAGACTGAATTCTATTAGTCAAGCTTGCAATGTGGCCAGCATACCACTAGGTGGCTAGCCGTCACGTTGCACTGTGAATTGTTGGTATTAGATGGTTGCAGGCAATCGGTAGGAAGATTTGAACGTAGGTTTTGTGCTAGTTGGCACTCAGTCTGCACCGAAGATAGGACTATACACATTACACAGGTTATTGACTAGTGTCCAATCAAAAATATCCAATACAGTCAGTCCAGCAGGAAGTTAATCGTGAGTCTGTATAGCTCAGTGGTAACATCTCTGACTGACTGCAGGCCCACTGGTTGACGCAGGTTTGAATCTCAAAAAAGAGACATGAGTTTCTTCAAGGTAATTGCAGATACGCCTTGCTGATGAGTGCCAACTAGCACGAAACTTAGGTGAAGCAAGGTTTTCTGTGGCCGATTACCTCCAACCATCTAATACCAGAAATTAATGTCTGTAATTATCTACATGCACTGATACGAAAGAATATGTATCCTATCTTTTCATCACAGTTGATTTATGTTTTTGAATTCAGATTCGAAATGGAGACACCCACTTTGACCGATATAATGTTTATTGCAGTTGATACAATTTTTTTTTTTTAATGATATTGATTTTTTATTCTTTTTCTGTTAGATCGTTTGGTTTACACAATATCGAATGAAGGGATTGTGCTAGCTGGCTGGCTGCTTTGTGTGCTATATCTATTTCAGACGGTTTTAATAGTCTGGCTGTTATTTGAGAGATATTCTTTATATATATGGTAGAGTGAAAATTCTCTTCATCTTTGATAATGGGTTTTTTTGTTGTTGGTGATACGACTTGAGTTTAAACAATGTCTGCACATAGTTTCTTTTATAAGTTGTTTATTTTTGTTTTTTTCCTTCACGTTCCCAGTGGAACATAGGGTGCCTTCAAGCTAGAGGCTTGAAGTTTCTATAGCAGTGTTTATTTTTACACGATGGGGTTGCTAGCCTCATGGCCAACCTTCCCTCTTTAGCAGACTTATTACAGGCTAAGTGAGGTAAAGGAGTGCGTCGGCGGCCGGAGATCGAACCCCGGACCATGTGCATTATTTATTGAAACGCATAAAAACTTGGTACAATATGGCACCAAGAAGGATGCGCCACACAATAATAATAAAACAACATAGATCAAAAGAAAAAAAGAAAGAAGAGAAAAATATATATATAAGTAGAGAAGGGATAAAGAACTTCATCTGGAAGGAAAACACTCATGCTTAACAACTTCAAACAGTATTCGTTAACTATCATCGGGAAGGGAAGAAAGAAAGAAATTCCAGTACGTGTAATAGCAGGCGATAAGTTTCATTGATTGTTTGTTGCTTTATTTAATTCATTGTGTGAGGACTGAGATATACTTCCCGGGCGCCCAAACTGAAGCAGTTGGTTTTATTAAGGGACCACCCCTTCCGCAAGGCAGCGGAGCAGCGTCAGGAGCTGCATTCCTATGGTTTCCGATAACCCATATGGGTTCATACGCCATTTGATCCGATTGGATACTGGAGCCCATGTACCCCATGGTGGTAACTGCTTTTAGTTTAACCGCTATCTAAACAACCTTCCTGACATGGTAGGACCTGTCAGTTCAAGCCCGACCACCACGACAAGGTAGGAGTTATCGGCCGGGAGGACCATGTGCATGGTCGGTGAGCATGCTAACCTTTATGCCACCGACGCAAGTTGGTTATTACTATTAACTATATGTATCGAACTTTCTTAGTAACAAAAGGAATTCTAAATTTTAGATAATAAATTTCTTTAATGCGTTAGAAACCAAAGTAAGATTAAATGTTAAAACAGCTAGTCCCATTGATAAATTTGAATAAGGCATTTAGAAGACGAATTTCCTGAGATGATATCGCCATTTCTTAGTTTCTCTACAATCGCTTCTTAACAAACACGGTTAACAATAATTAAAATAAAGGTCATGACAGTTACTCAGTTATATCAAACAAAACTACATACTAATGACCAATCATATTTAATTAAATACGTCAAGTAGTCCACAGTAGGGGAAGGTTAAAGTCTAATGTTTTTGTACACATAGTTTAGGATGCATGTGATTAATCCAAAGTGCTTCTTCCATCACCTTTAATAACAAACCTTGAATTACAGTTATGTGATATAATTTTGAAGATGTCACTAATACTGATTTTGTGACCTGACATTAATAAGTGCTTTACAATTGGGTCTATCCATATAGGTGTTACCGCAACTGCAGATGAACTTGTAGATACAATCTGAAGTAGAGCCCACAGAATTTCGTCCTCTAATCCTAGGTACAGGGATTGGAAATGTTCGAGATGTGATAAAAAGAGATGCGACGTAGAATGAGCGTTTGATGACTGACCAAAGCGCCTTTGAGTTAGCTGTCAACTTCATAATCTGGTCCCCCTTGAATGGTAGGTTAATGAAAATAGCTTTCTTTGGTACAGAAGCTGTCTATTCAAGATGTGGTCTATCCTTACTGTGGCAATTGATTGATAAAGTTCTCCGGATAACCATTAGCTAATAAAACTGAATGTTGTATATATGTCGAAGTTCATCCATCCGTATGTCACTCGTGCGCATTTTTTCAGAGTCGGAAGAGGAAACAAGCATTCAGTTGAAATTTATCTTTCATGATGTAGAAAGCCATAAGCCTCTGTTTACACTTTCTAATTGTATATAATGATGCTTTTATGACCAGATTTCAAGAGGTGATTACAAAAAGGAAGGGTGCAAATGTTATAAGGTTAAGTGAACGCGACAACTGAACAGAATACAAGACGTATTTCAATGCGGTAAAGCAAAAACACACAGCAACAGTCAATGGTGTTTTTTCTGTTGTTGTTGTTGAGTCAAATAAAGGCCATACAACAATTTGTATTATCCATTTCGAAGACTATTCATCTTTCTTTGATCATATCAGCATTCTACCTGCTCTGTGTTTGTTCACCATTAAAGTTAAGCTGTTTTGTTTATAAGTTTGAGAACCATTGAAAACCAGCACTGCAGTATTGGACAGCCGTTTCGACCTAGTTTTGGACTCACCTTCAGTATGCACCCAACACCCAGGGAATAAGAGTCTTATGGACTTAGAATATGCGAATGACATAGTCCTGTTAGGGGAGGATGCTGACAAAATCCAGCAGAGTCTTCTGAACACCTTGAGCAGCAATCTTCGTATGTTTGGCATGCGATTCGCCCCTACAAAATGTAAGATGCTGCTACAGGACTGGACCACGTCAACCCCTAACTTAGCGATAGGGAGTGAAGTGATAGAACATGTTGACCACTTCACCTATTTGGGAAGTTGTATCAGCACCAACGAACTGATTGGCGATGAAATCTCAGCACGGATCCAAAAAGCTCGAGCTGCTTTCGCTGACTTACACCATCTCTCGCGTAGGCGTGACATCCGGGACATGTGTACTGCTCATCAGTTCGTTCCGTCCTTCTCTATGGCTCTGATACATGGCCAATACGAGTTGAAGACATGAAAAGGTTGACTGCTTTCGATCATAGATGTCTACGATCTCTTTCTCACGTTAGGTGGTTTAATAAGGTAAGTAATGTTGACGTTAGGCGTAGAGTGTTGGGCAAAGAGGGGAAATCAATCGACGAGGTTATAAAGTTACCTAGATTGAGTTGGCTAGGTGACGTGGTGCGCATGGCTGCCTAACCACCGCCTCTCCCCATGACAGGCATTACTAGCTGATATAGGTGCAGGTTGGAAAAGAGCCAGTGGTGCCCAAACAAAAACATGGCCTCATCAATCCATGAAATCCTTGACAGTGAAACTGAGTCAGTCAGGTAGGGAGATGGAGACTTCCGGGTTGTGGCCTTCGGGACTGACTTTAGGAATCAATGGCTGGAGACAATAGGTGACATGGCTCAAAATCGTTGTCAATAGCCAGCGCAGATGCATTCAGTCTCTGTAATCTTTCATATTCCTTTCTACCATTACCCATTCTGTTTCACTCTTATACTTGTCAGACTGTATTGATTCTCTTCACTCGTCTTCTTGTCTACCTTTGTGTGCTATTTGGAAGGTGGCAACTGGGACTGCTGCACTTGGGTGGCAAGTTCTATGTTGAATCCAGACAGACAGACATGCACCCAACACAGGGGTTTCGAACCCTAGACCTTCCCGTTATAACACAAGCTCGTAGACTGTTCACCCACTGGGACCAGACTTTGTGGCCCACAAATTCTAGCTTCTATCAATTTGTGATTTTAGTGCTACCGAAAAGTCATGGGTTCGAATTCTGGTGGGTAAGTACTGATGATGAATGTCAAACTGGGACGAAACAGCTGTCCAATACTCCCAGCTGCTTTTTAGTGGTTCACTTACTGATATCAATCCATGATCAAGCTTGAAAAACAAATCAAAAATCCCTGCAAATTAACTCTTGGGAATCAATGTGTGACGCAGTCTAGCAACTGACTCTATACAGGAATTTATCTGAAGTTCTAATGAGACGCGTAGTGACTAGCACGGTCCATCAAGTCCAATCGAATCCTTATAAATATAACGCTTAAAATATAAGACACAATTAACGAAAAAAAACTGAACTATTCAAGGAAAGTAGTAATAATAATTATTATTAATACTAAGCAAAAGTGAATTTATGTACTTACTGTTTTAAGTGCTTTCTCTCCTTTAGGCTTATGATAAGATTGTCGATAATATTTGTAGAATAATAAGAATAGACTGCCTTCATAGAATAGATTTAAGCCATAAACCGGCTTTTGAAAACTACATTGAATACACAGTGATATACATGAGTACAGCATACCATAGGTGAATTGGAACTGTTTAAAAATGACAAAAAAAAAGAGAAGGGGAGAGGTGGGGGTAAAAAAGGTTTCATTTAGTGATAAAAGTCAAACATAACAGCACATTCATTTCAGTTTATCGAATTATTATTATTCCCTCAGGTTCGAAGTGGAAAATATGTTTTCAACAGCACATCTCCACATCATTCTGCAAGGGACGTGTGTACTGCTCATCAGTTCGCTCCGTCCTTCTCTATGGCTCTGATACATGGCCAATACGAGTTGAAGACATGAAAAGATTGACTGCTTTCGATCATAAATGTCTACGATCTCTTTCTCACGTTAGGTGGTTTAATAAGGTAAGTAATGTTGACGTTAGGCGTAGAGTGTTGGGCAAAGAGGGGAAATCAATCGACGAGGTTATAAAGTTACCTAGATTGAGTTGGCTAGGTGACGTGGTGCGCATGGCTGCCTAACCACCGCCTCTCCCGATGACGGGCATTACTAGCTGATATAGGTGCAGGTTGGAAAAGAGCCAGTGGTGCCCAAACAAAAACATGGCCTCATCAATCCATGAAATCCTTGACAGTGAAACTGAGTCAGTCAGGTAGGGAGATGGAGACTTCCGGGTTGGAGCCCTCGGTACTGACTCTAGGAATCAATGACTGGAGACAATAGGTGACATGGCTCAAAATCGTTGTCAATAGCCAGCGCAGATGCATTCAGTCTCTGTAATCTTTCATATTCCTTTCTACCATTACCCATTCTGTTTCACTCTTATACTTGTCAGACTGTATTGATTCTCTTCACTCGTCTTGTCTACCTTTGTGTGCTATTTGGAAGGTGGCAACTGGAACTGCTGCACTTGGGTGACAAGTTCTATGTTGAATCCAGACAGACAGACAGACATTCTGCTCTCTACAGTCCTCTTTAGACGGCTGTATGGTTGTGCACAAGTTTTAATCTCCTCATCACATAACATTCTCCACCTCATCCTCGGACCCACACCCACATCGTTGTTTCTCATTCGGGTTCCACTAGAGGGCTTCCTTGCGTCAGTGGCACAGCAGTAGAATGCTCACCAATCACGCATCATGTGGTCCGGGATTCGATCACTGGCCACCGACGCACTCCCAAACAATTGTTGAGCCAGTAATAAGACTGGTAAAGAGAGAAGGTTAGGCATGAGGCCAGCAGCGAGCCCATCCCATGAAAAAATAAACACCACTGCTACTGAAAATTCAAGCCTCTAACTTGAAAGCGCCCTATGTTCCACTGGGAACGTAAAGGAATTAAAAAAAAACATAGAGGGCTTCTTCAGCACGTGATTTTAATCAGTGATCACCTATCAAATATATTACAGATATCTATAGAAGGAAGATGTAACTGGGTGGATAAGATGTCATGGAATTTCGAAAAATTTTTAATGTAGTTGATATTTATTGCTATGGTGTTGAACTGGTATGTTCCAGCTGAACCAACCAAAGTATCAGGTAACTTTAGTCATTTGTGAAGGACAGAGATATGACTTTGTAGATTTTTCGTTAAAAGTGGTGGTTCAGTAGTAGAATGGTCACCGATGATAAACCTGGGCGCGGTTCGATTCCCCACCAATGCGCATTCCTAAACCTTACTTAGTAGTGGGTAGTAAACGTGGTGAGAAGAGGATGTCAGTCGCGAGATTAGCATCTTCCTCCATCTATTAACACAGAACAACACCGCCAATGAAACTTCAAAGCCCAAGCTTTAAGTCCCATGTTCCACTGTTAAAAGGATCCTCTGGTTACAAGGCAAGCGAGCTCTAGTAAGACATTAAGCCAGTGGGATCAAATCCAATGGCCAGCCAGCCCATTCCAACTAATTCTACAGAAACAAGTGAATTTATAAACGCACATTGAAGTGGCCCAAAGGGGCAGTTTATCCTGCACGCATCCATTGATCATGTGTCGGCTGTAGAAATTAATCCGTAGCTCAATCGCAAAGAACGCTTTCCTTGGTGATCTGCATAAGCGACTTTACAGAAGCTCAGCTGAAGTATCACCTTTAAATCTGACGTTCATAAATAGCAGTTTCTTCGGCAACTTCTGGGTTCTTTCAGGCTTTTCGCTTAACTTCATGTTTTTTTCTCAATAAATCTTAGAGGATATTCATTTTCTATGAGGACTTGCCTGAGTCACTCCAGTTCCCCATCGATTGTATCACTGGAACATATCCTTCTTATTCGGGAGGATAAGTAACATTACTCGTACCAAAAACAAAAACTTTGATTTTAAGGGAGACTTAACTTTCAATGTAATTCGGAGAAGAATTTCAGCATCTTTAAGAAAAACAAATCTTCAGTCGTTCACTAGTCTGCAGAGGCTCAAAAGACAACATCTGGTTCATCAAATCCTGTGAAACCAAGTACATTGGTTGTTTAATGCATGTCCTGTGTGAAAAGCTTCAAGAAATTTTGCAGAAATGCAACAGTAGCTCTATACAAAGTGAGATAATTGAACAACGCCTTGTCGACACTTGTAACTCTATCTCAAAAAACTCATTCCTCAAAGTAATCGATACAGTGAAGAACAACCTACACTAAAGGCAGTGCACTTCTGTGTCTCCTGTTCCCTGTTAAAAGTCTAGCCATTCACATGGAGGAATCGGAATTCTCTATACAAGAAAATAACTAACTATTCAATCGATTGAGTTTATCATGATTAGTGACAACTCTTTACTTTTCTTACTCTCCTCTTTTATGAAAAACTGGGTATATAAATGCGATTGTGTACGGTTAAAGAAGGAAAAACGCCTTCGTGGAAACTACCCATATCTCTTGGACTAAAATTCTGTGATGTTAATTTTAACAGCAACAGACTTCATACGTATATTCAATTCGAGAATCTCATAAGCCAAACTCATGATATTACTCCAGTCTCCGATGCAGATTTCCTACACTTCAAGTCAACAATCTTCGATTGCTGTAATTTAATATCTCAGCTTAAAAAACTCAAACCCGACGTCTACTGACAAAAGAACATTCAAAAAAACAACTCAAAGAACTAAGAGACAATAAAGATTTGATGACAAAAAATTTGCCAAGCCCAACAATGAGAAAAGCATCTTCGCTGAACCACTTACTTCGGTTTTTATTAGTGTTCTCCAAATGACTTTATTTAACTTAGAAAGTAATATAAGAGTGAAATTACAACGTGAAATATGTTTATCTCTTTAGTAGAGATATTCCAGTTTCACACTTACTTAGCATAAACAATAAACAAATAATATTTATACAATAAGTTGAGTGAAATCAACAAATCTTGTTGTTGTTCTGCATCATTTTTTGAATGAAAGTAAATAAGCAAATTATTAACTATTCCGTATGTATGTATGTATATGTGTGTAGACCAACTTCAAATATATACGTAATAAGACGTCAACAAATTGATTCATGTACATTCATGAATAAAATATTCTTTTCAGGATTTCATCATGAGCTGACAGTAGTTAAAGAACCATTGGAAAACCTGGGAGTACTGGACAGCTGTTTCGTCCTAGTTTTGGACTCTCCATCAGTACGCACCCACCGGGATTCGAACCCAGGACCTTCCGGTTACAAGGCGAGCTCGTATACCATTAAGCCACTGGGACGCGATCCAATGATCCTTGAATTCTAACTTCTGCCAATTCACGACATAGCGCGACCGCTAGCCAATGTCTTCGCTGGCGAGTATTTGTCCTCACACCCGACCAGCTGCACTCTACTGGTCACGACTTCCCACCGGAACCCAGGTAACTACCTACCTGAATAGAGCCAGTCGCCAGTGAGCATCTCATTGGTATTCAAGTGTTGGTTTGTAGGGATTTGATTGGTTTCAGGATTTCATCATGAGCTGACATTAGTTAGAGAACCATTGGAAAACCTGGGAGTACTGGACAGCTGTTTTGTCCTAGTTTGGGACTCTTCACAGTACGCACCCACCGGGGTTCAAACCGAGGACCTTCTGGTTACAAGGCGAGCTCGTATAGCATTAAGCCACTGGGACCCGATCCGATGAAATCCTGAAACCAATCAAATCCCTACAAACCATCACTTGAAAATATTCTTTTCTTCCGTAGAGTATTAATTTCAATTTTGGTCATGGATTAAATAATAATAAGGTAGAGAACTAGTGTAAACAGCTGTTTCGTCCCAGTCTGGAACTCACCATCAGTATACAACCACCGCCAAGTAAGTTCGTAGGCTATTCAGTCGCTGGGACTCAACTCAATGATCAGTCCATGAATTTTAAATTCCACTAATTCGCAATTGCAGGGTAACTGGCACCAGCCAGTATATAATCAGCGAGTATGTGTTCTCAATCCTTACCGGGTGGTGGACCTCACTGGTCAAGACGTCTTTTTACAATGGCAAGAAATCTTTTTCTGTAACCAGTTGCTATTGGACACCAAATTAACTTTGGGGGAGTTTGTTTGAAGGGATTGGATTTGTTTTCCAAGTGTGATAACGGATTGATATCAATTAGAAAACCAATAAAAACTAGCTGTAAGTACTGGACAGCTGTTTCACCCTACTTTGGGACTCTTCAGCAGTAAAAACTTGTCTTGTGACCGGAAGGTTGATGACTCAAATCCTCTGTGGTAGGTGCATGTTGTCAATGATTTCCAAACTAGGACGAAAGAACTGTCCAGTACTCCAGTGCTGGTTTCTAATAGTACTCTAACTAATATCAATCCATGGTTAAACCTAATTACATGTAAGCGAATGCATAGCAATGGTTGAACTTTTTCTAGTCAATTTTCTCACTAATTATGGTCTGACTACGTATGTTATCCGACCTTCTTGTTCCTTACACTTTGTCATTTTATTCATTTGATTATTGACCGAAAAGAGCTCTGAAACTTCTTCACCCACTCACCATAAGTTGATGACTTCGTCGAAAATAAGATTTTCTTTACTGTAACCGTCGTCATAATAATTTCCAAGATTATTTAACCTAAATGGATCAACCATTCTCAAGATTGAATGACCTAACTAACCCGCATTTACTAATTCA